GTAGACAGCAGTAGTGGGCCCAGGCTGGTGTGGTGGGACGCTGGCCCAGGGCTCTGGGGGGTCCTGTAGACAGCAGTAGTGGGCCCAGGCTGGTGGGGTGGGACGCTGGCCCAGGGCTCTGGGGGGTCTCGTGGACAGCAGCAGGGGCCCAGGCTGATGGGGTGGGACGCTGGCCCAGGGCTCTGGGGGGGGGGGTCCCGTGGACAGCAGCAGAGTCCCAGGCTGATGACGTGGGACACTCGCCCAGGGCTCTAGGGAGGGGGGTGTCCCATAGACAGCAGCAGGGGCCCAGGCTGATGGCATGGGACACTGGCCCCATTCTGCTCTTGCTGAGTCCCAAGTCTACAAAGCACTGGGTGTTCTCATGTGTCACAGTACAGAGCCAGTGTCCACAAAGTTCCTGCCAAGCTGTCCTTTCCAGTTAGGGCCTCTCTGAGCCCCCACTGCCCTGTGCAGATGGCACAGCACTGTGATGCTCCCCTCCGCTGCGTGCCCTCCTCCCTCGGCCCTCGGAGGTCGGTGGCTCTGTGCCAGGCAGAGTTGCACATAGGACCACCCCACCCCAGGTTGTCCAGGGACACCTGGGCTCCATCTCTGCTAGACTTGGACTGTGGAACAGGGCCCAGGCATGGTGTGCCCAAGGCAGGAGTGAGATTTGCTTTGCCCTCCGGGTGTTGATGTGCAAAGGTGCTGCCCCTAGAGGCCAGCCCCTGGGCGCCGTGTTTTGGCTGGTGTGCTGCCAGCCACAGCCTGGGCTACCTCCAGTGGTGCTGCCCAGGGAGTTGATCTCAGAGCTCCTAGGCTGCTGAGGCTCTGAAGCGGGGAAGCCTGAGCTCCATGCTGTGGGCCACACTGGGGATGGAGATGTTTGGTTCTGGGCACCCCACTGCCGAGATGGGGTCAATGCCAGGACCACAGGTGGCAGGATCAGGCCTCTACAGGCGGGCTGTGGCGGCTGGCTTCTGGGCCTTGGGCAGGGGGTGAGGGAACAGCCTTGTCCTGCTGGTGACTCTCTTCCTAGGCTTCTAGAGGGTGTTTTGTTGGATAGCGCCCAGCATGCCCTGGTGGGAGCAGCACCCTTCTGCCCACCCTCCACTCCTGAGCTTTTCCATCTTGCCCAGGTGGCCTGAGAGGTGCCTGCCGCTGCACCTCTTCCCTTGCAGGTGCTAGATTTGATGGCAGTTGCTGCCACCTGCTGTGTTTGTGCCAGGTGATCAAGGGCACCAGTCCTCCAGGGTGTGCCCAGCAGCCAGGCTGAGGTTTTTGTGCATAATAGGAAGCCTTCTGGAGACTCCAGGGCTGGCGGCCGCCACCGTAGGGTAAGCTACGTAGCTGTGGCTCCTTCCAGGCTGGGCGGTGCGGGATAGTGCCCGCCAGAGCCCTGGCACACTTGCAGCTGCTGCAGATAAATTCCTCCATGGCCTGGGCTCCTGGCTGTCTATGGCACAGCTGTACCACATCCTCCTGCTGCCCACGGTGCTGTGGGAACCTCCGAAGCCTGGGCCCTGGAAGCCAGGGGAGGGGTGCTGTGGGGAACCTGCATCTGAAGCCCCCTTTGCAAGGGAAGCCTGTTCTGCTGACTGTGCTTCCCGTCCATGTGGGTCAGTGCTGTGCGAGGGGCTGGCTTCCACGTCCTGCACCCTGGACATACTGTGGAGGCCGCAGGGTACTGCCATCCTTACCCGGCTGAGGGAGCAGAGGGCCAGGGCCAGGCCAGTCTTGCCTAGCCACAGCCCTGGCCAGCTCCTGGCTGGACGCCACCTGTGTTTCATCCTGGACGAGGCTGCTTCCGGAAGGCCCAGCCAGGGTGGGCCGTGTGCTGGGAGTGAGTGTGTCCTCCTGCATGCTCACATGACTCCGCCCTCCTGGCTCCACCTAGCCACTTCTGCAGAGGTGGCTTTGGCCTGGTGGCTGACGGGAAACCACTGAGGAGTGTGCCTGGCCAGACAGGGAGCGGGTGGTAGGGCCAGGGAAACTCTACTCAGGCTTCACTGTACTCCAGCTATCTGGCCTGTGGGTCTGTGGCCACCTGTGGTCATTCCCCGCCTGGGTGACCCTCCCCCCAGCTCTTCCTGGCCTGCCATAGGTTGCCAGGTGAGGAGAGGCCTGTCCCCCACAGCCATCTTGTACGTGGGTCCTTTGCCCTGCACAGGTTGCCTGGCATTGGAGTCCTTCCTGCCTCTGTGGGCTCCCTAGGCTGTGCAAGCAAGGTGGGGTCTGGCTTTGGGGAAAAGTGGAAAAGAAACCCGATGAGCCAGTCCTGCCTGCTTACTTCCTCCTCCCAGGCCCCTTCCTGCCTGCCTTCCCTGAGCTTGGGGCTCCCTGCTAGCATGGTGTTTGACTGGTTTCCCTAGCAACTGCAGGGCCCTGGTGCAGGTGACATTAGGTGACGGGGGACACTGCTCAGATGGAGGGAACCCCATCCGGCAAGCTCAGGACCCTCAGCCTGCTGTTTGCGGTGTGGGGCTCAGGTCACGGAACCTCTCTGCCTGGGGATGGGGCTGAGGGCCACCTCCTCGCCCTGCTTCCTGTCCCATTCCCTCTCCTTCCTGTTCCCTCCTCCCGCACAGCTGCTGCTTGGCTCACTCTATATATAGTGATGTGTTCAGTGTAATTACAATAAAACTGTTGAAAGGAGATAATCCAGCAGAGGAAGCCGCCAGCTCCCAGCCTCCTCAGCGTCCGCACTCTGGGCCCTGCACCCCTTCCCCCATTTCATCCCCCAACGGAGCTGCAGTGGGCGGGGCCTGCAGAAAGCATTGCAGGACAGGATTCACCTGGCACCTCCAGTGCTTCCCCCACAGCCGTGGAGTTGCACCTGTGCCTCAGTTTCTCTGCTGGTGTAGGCTTTGGCAGGTGTGGTGTTGGGAGATCAGGAGAAGGCACAGGAGAGCAAAACTGCACGTTTCTTTGGTTTTTGTCTGTTTTGTTTTTAAGGCAGGGTCTCACTTTGTAGCCCATGGCAATCCTCCTGTCTCAGCCTCCTGAGTGCTACGGTTACAGGCGTGTACTGCCTTGCCAGGGGTGGGTACAAGGTCTACAGGTTCTTCAGTCTTCTACTGGCTCTGGTTGAGCCCTCTCAGCCACATTTTCTTTGTCCATAAAAGAGGCAGTAAAACACGTTAAGTCTGTTCAGGGTTGGGGGTGCTCTGTTCCGACTGCCCTGTACCCAGTGCACATGGTGCGTGCTGCTGTGACCGTGCTGGTGCCCTTCTTCTCTTCCTCTGCCTGTTTTACTATAGGGTCTGTGTAGCCCAGTCTGGGCTTGACCTTGCAGCCATCCCCCGCCTCAGCCTCCTCCCTGGTGCCAAGGTGAGCTTCGTGTGGTGCTGGGGCCAGAGCTGGGCCCTGTGCTTGCCGAGGCCACAGTCTTCTCCCAGCTGTGTCCCACCCGTTGGATATCTCATTTCTGGGCACTGTCCGGGCACTATCCTGGGCACCACCTTGTCTCATATGGGTGCAGTTGCATCTTAGAGTACCCTGATGTCCCCTGACGTCCCCGCTGCATCCTACAGCCTCGTCTTCTGCCCGGTACCCACCAAGCCCTCTTCTTTTATGCCCACAGTGGAGGTGAAGCCGGCGCTGCCTGGGGCCATGCCTAGTACCATGGGCCCTGGGGTGCGGCGGGGTGTTCCACCCGGGGCTGTGGACCCTGCAGACCCCGCAGACCCCGCGTTGCGGGAACGGCAGCTGCAGCAGGAGTTGGCGGCTCTGAAGCAGCAGCAGCAGCTGCAGAAGCAGCTCCTGTTTGCCGAGTTCCAGAAGCAGCATGCACACCTGACGCGGCAGCATGAGGCGCAGCTGCAGAAGCACCTGCAGGTGAATACGGGCGGCCGGGCCTGGCCCTGTCCGTCCTGCTCGGGCGAGCGCCCACTCACCGGCCCGCCCGCCCGCCCGCCCGTCCGCCCGCAGCAGCAGCAGCAGGAGAGGCTGGCGGCCCAGCGGCAGCGAGATCTGGAGCAGCAGCGGCGAGAGCAGCAGCGGCAGGAGGAGCTGGAGCGGCAGCGGCTGGAGCAGCAGCTGCTGGTCCTGCGCCACAAGGAGAAGAGCAAAGAGAGTAAGCGCGGGGCTGCGGGCAGCGGACCCTCCGAGCCCCGCGCCCGGCTCAGCCCCTCCTCCCGCAGGTGCCATTGCCAGCACTGAGGTGAAGCTGCGGCTGCAGGAATTCCTCCTGTCCAAGTCGAGGGAGCCCACGCCAGGCGGCCTCAACCATTCCCTCCCGCAGCACCCCAAGTGCTGGTAAAGCGGGGGGTGTCCTGCCTGTGGCCCAATGTCCCTGTGTCTCCCTCAGGGACGCCCACTCCTCCCTGCTGCCCAGGACTGGTCCCTGTCCCCAGGGGGCCACCCTGACTGTCCCAGCTGGCGGGCTGGGCGTGGGGTGACAGGTCTGCCCCCCCAGGGGAGCCCACCACGCTTCTTTGGACCAGAGCTCCCCTCCCCAGAGCGGCCCCCCTGGAACACCTCCCTCCTACAAGCTGCCTCTCCTGGGGCCCTATGACAGCCGAGACGACTTCCCCCTCCGTAAGACAGGTGTGTGGTGGCCCTGTGTCCAGTGGGCAGGTGGCAGACAGGGTGGCACTGTGGGGGTTGGGGTCTAGCAGATGTGGCCATGGTTGTGCTGAGTCCCCTATGCCCTCAGCCTCGGAACCCAACCTGAAAGTGCGGTCCAGGCTCAAGCAGAAGGTGGCTGAACGGAGGAGCAGCCCCCTGCTACGCCGCAAGGATGGGACTGTCATCAGCACCTTTAAGAAGAGAGCCGTGGAGATCACAGGCACCAGCCCTGGGGGTGAGGGTGCCCATGAGTCCTGTCGTGGAGGGCCTGGGAACGGGTGGCCCAGAGCAGGCCCGGGTGACAGCTGCTTCTCCTGTAGTGTCGTCTGTGTGTAACAGTGCGCCCGGCTCCGGCCCCAGCTCTCCCAACAGCTCCCACGGCACCATCACCGAGAATGGCTTCACGGGCTCTGTCCCCAACATCCCCACGGAGGTACCTGCAGCTCCAGGTGCCCTCTGTCCACTTGGAGGATTCCGGGTGGGGCTGTGCCCAGCTGGCTGCCCTCACACCTTCTCTCATTTCTCAGATGCTCCCCCAGCACCGGGCACCCCCTCTGGACAGCTCACCCACGCAGTTTAGCCTCTACACATCCCCCTCTCTACCTAACATCTCCCTAGGGCTGCAGGCCACAGTCACCGTCACCAACTCACACCTCAGCGTGAGTGCTGGGACAGATGCGGCCCTCCCAGGGCCAGGGTGGGGCGGGGGGCTGTGACCCCTCCTCACCCTGCCCCCACCCCCATCAGGCCTCTCCCAAGCTGGCGACGCAGCAGGAGGCCGACAGGCAGGCCCTCCAGTCTCTGCAGCCAGGCGGCTCTCTGACGGGCAAGTTCCTGAGCACCTCCTCCATCCCTGGCTGCCTACTGGGTGTGGCACTGGAGGGTGACGCTGGCACCCACGGGCCTGCCTCGCTGCTGCAGCACGTGCTGCTGCTGGAGCAGGCCCGGCAGCAGAGCACCCTTATCGCGGGTGAGTGTGCACAGGGCCACCGCCAGCTCCTGTCTAGAGGAGACAGCCGTGTGTGAGAGTTTAGAAAGAGGTGCAGTAGCACTGCCCAGGATTTGGGAGGCTGAGGCAGGCAGCTCACCTTGAGTTCAGGGACAGTTCTGGCTACGTAGTGAAACTGCCTCAAAAAAGGAAAGAAGGAAAAGGGAAGGGAAATGGTTTAGTTCTATGCCGTGTAATTTTAAGTTATATTCAGACTAAGTGTGGTGGTGCTGCACGCCTGTCATCCCAGCACTCAGAGGGCTGAGGCAGGAGAATGGAGGCCAGCCTAGGCTACGAGATTCTGACTCAGAACCAAAATCAGGGGCTGGAGAGACAGCTCAGCGGTGTAAGTGCCTGCCTGGCATGCACAAGGTCCCAAGTTTGATCCCAGTACCACAAAAAGAAAAATCAAATACACAGCTAGATATATGGCTATATTTAGAAACAGCGGGGCTGGGGAGATGGCTCAGTAGCATAAGCGCTTCCCTGGCAAGTGCAAGGGCCTGAGTTCAATCCCAGTTCTGCCAAAAATAAATAAATAAGAAAGAAAAAAAAAAAAGAAACATCCCCTCAGTGTGGATCAAGTTGTTACTACTGAGGTTTACTTTGCTTCACTGATCTTTGGTCACGTGCCAGTGTAGACAGTGTTCCAGGGCTCTGTGCCTCGGGGCATCACAAGGTCACGAAAGACAGTGGCTTGAGCTGGGGAGATGGCTCAGTGGAATAAGCGCTTCCCTGGCAAGCGCAAGGGTCTGAGTTCAATCTTCAGTTCTGCAAAAAATAAAAAATTAAAAAAAAATTAAATATGAGAAAGACAGTGGCTCACAGCCCTGGGATCGCTGGTTGGTGTTAGCCACGTACATAGTGGCTCAGGGGCTCCCTCCTGTGTGGTCCAGTGGGCCAGGACAGGTGCAGTGTGGGGTGCTCACAGGCTCATTTTCCTCTGCCTCCCCAGTGCCACTCCACGGGCAGTCCCCCCTGGTGACCAGCGAGCGTGTGGCCACCAGCATTCGGACCGTGGGAAAGTTGCCCCGGCACCGGCCACTGAGCCGTACGCAGTCCTCGCCGCTGCCACAGAGCCCGCAGGCGCTGCAGCAGCTTGTCACACAGCAGCAGTTTCTGGAGAAGCACAAGCAGCAACAGCTACAGCTGGGCAAGGTGTGGGGCAACGGCCTGGGCTGTGGAGCGGGGGGGCGTGGCTGGCTCTTTCGCTTTGTGATTTCTTGGTTTTTGAGACCTGGTCTTGCTGTGGAGCTGAGACTGGCCTCCAACTCATGGCAGTCCTGTCTCAGCCTCAGCAGTGCTGGGGTGACAGGCGTGAGCCCTGCCTTCTGTCCCCAGATCCTCACTAAGACTGGGGAGCTGCCTAGGCCGCCCACCACACACCCTGAGGAGACGGAGGAGGAGCTCACGGAGCAGCAGGAGACCTTGCTGGGGGAGGAGGCCCAGACTGTGCCCCGGGAGAGCTCCACGGAGAGCGAGAGCACCCAGGAGGACCTGGAAGACGAGGACGACGACGAGGAGGACGGCTGCGTCCAGGTCCAGGACCCGGCAGGTGACAGCAGCCCCGAGGAGAGTCCTGACCTGGAGGAGACCGGCGCTGGCTACAAAAAGGTGCTTTGCTGTCCCGTCCCTGAACCGCAGCGGGGAGTGGCCGGGGCGCTGCCCCCTGTGCGCATGCTTGTCTGTGCCTCGTCGTCTGCCGTGCGTACACACCGCCCACTGCTACCATGTCACTCCATTCACGGAAGAGCGGCCGAGCGGCCGATTCATGCCGCCCCCGCTGCTTGCTTTCCTCCTCGCTGTTCTCTGCTCGGGTGACTCACTCATCCTGAGGGGACGTGCACACCCTGCCTGTGCCTGGAGGCTGCGGGCCATGGGGAGGAGTGCCTGCCTCCCCCAGGCCTCACCCTCACCCATCTCCCCAGCTGTTCGCAGATGCCCAGCAGATGCCGCCCCTGCGCGTGTACCAGGCGCCCCTCAGCCTGGCCACCGTGCCCCACCAGGCCCTGGGCCGCACCCAGTCCTCACCTGCTGCGCCAGGGGGTGTGAAGAGCCCCCCAGACCCACCCACCAAGCTCCTCTTCACCACGGGTGAGTGCCCATTGCCACATCCCCTGCCCGAGACCGGTCAGGGTGGCACTGGCAGCCTGGCTTCCCCTCCTGCTGTGTGTCGGGGTCAGGGCAGGCCCACATCATGGCATACGCCAGGGAGGCAGGTGGGTGGCTGAGGGTGGTGGCCGGCTGACGGGGTCTGTGCCCAGGTGTGGTGTACGACACCTTCATGCTGAAGCACCAGTGCGTGTGTGGGAACACGCACGTCCACCCTGAGCACGCTGGCCGCATTCAGAGCATCTGGTCCAGGCTGCAGGAGACCGGGCTGTTGGGAAGGTGTGAGGTGAGGACCTGGGCCCCGGCCCAGCCCCGCCTGCCCTGCCATTCACCCTCTTGGGCCTGGCCAGCACAGAGCAGCGTCCAGGGTGGGTCTCTGGGGACCTGGCCAGGGATAACAGGCCCCACGCAGCCTCTCCCACCACCACAGCGGGTCCGGGGCCGCAAAGCCACCCTGGACGAGATCCAGACGGTGCACTCGGAACTACACACACTGCTCTATGGGACCAGCCCGCTCAACCGGCAGAAGCTGGACAGCAAGAAGCTGCTCGGTGAGGACGGCTCCCAGCTGGGTGCAGGGCAGCCGGGATGAAGGGCGGGGGATGGGCTGGCGTGGCCGAGCCAAGACGCCGCAGCTCTGCCTGTCCCTTAGGTCCTATCAGCCAGAAGATGTATGCTGTGTTGCCCTGTGGGGGCATCGGGGTGAGTGGCTTGTGGCCACCCACAAGGGAGTCGGGAGGGCACGGCTGGCCCACCCTGCTTGTCTGCTGACCTCGTCCCACTACAGGTGGACAGCGACACTGTGTGGAATGAGATGCATTCCTCCAGCGCCGTGCGCATGGCTGTGGGCTGCCTGCTGGAGCTGGCCTTCAAGGTGGCGGCGGGCGAGCTCAAGGTGAGGCCAGCTATGGCCTTGTGACTGTAGCTCTGGTTTCCCCTCTCCATGCTCTGTCTTCTGACCTCAGCTCTTGGGGGCCAGGCAGGGGTGAAGGACAGAGGGGGCCCACCCAGGGAGCAGGCTGAGCACCCTGGCAGCGGGCTTGGAGTAGGGACTCAGCACTGCCCTGACTCCCACATGTTCCCTCCCCACCGCTCCCCACCACCTTGCTGTCCTGCATCTGGACTTCATCCCTCTGCTTGTGCCTTTTCAGAATGGCTTTGCCATCATCCGGCCCCCAGGACACCACGCCGAGGAGTCTACTGCCATGTGAGTGCAGTCCGTGCCCGTCCTGGCCAGGTGGCAGCGGCTGTGTCCCTTCCGTCCCCTCCCTCCTGATGCTGACTCCACCCTTCTCCCTCCACAGGGGATTCTGCTTTTTCAACTCTGTGGCCATTGCAGCCAAACTGCTGCAGCAGAAGCTGAGCGTGGGCAGGGTCCTCATTGTGGACTGGGTAAGTGTGGGTCCGTCCTGCTGGGTTGCCGGCCTGTCCTCAGGTTGCAAGGGGCAGGTGCCACCACTGTTGTCCACTGCCCTCCCCAGCAGCCCCAAGCCGAGGGTGTGCAGCCTGAACATAAAGATAGTGCCGCCACTGCTTCTAGGAGCCACCTTTCTCCTCCAGCCTCCAGCCCGGGGCTGACACTGGTCAGGAGCCTGCCGGGCCTGCCCCAGTGGTGGGAGCGAGGGTTTCTGTGAGTGAGGGCCCTGTTGGGCGTGCCTGGGAGCTTATGGCGCTGGGGACTCTGCTTCCCGCTCCCACTCACTGGGCCTGGGGACCTCACTGGGAATGATCCTAGACACCAGCAAAATCTTTGGAGCCTCGTTTATTTAAAATGGGGCACATGCATGGTGTCATGTGTCTGTAATCGTAGCTGCTGGGGAGGCTGAGGCAGGAGGATTGCAATGAGTTTGACAAGGTCAGCCTGGTCTACTTACTGAGACCCTGTTTGAAATAATAAGCTGGGTATGGTGGCATACACCTGTAATCCCAGCACTTGGGAGACTGAGGCAGGAGGATCCCTGTGAGTTCAAGACCAGCCTGGTGGGGGGCTGAGGAGATGGCTCAGTGGAATAAGCGCTTCCCTGGCAAGTGCAAGGGCTTGAGTTCAATCCCCGGTTCCGCTATAGTGAGCTCAAGGCCAGCCTGAACTGCATAGCAAGACTGTCTCAAAAAGCAAAAAATTAAAATTAGAAACAGTAAAAATGTAGGGGCTGGAGAGATGGCTCAGTGGTCTAAAGCACCTACTTGGAACAAGCTTGGCAAAGCACAGGGACCGCGGTTCGATCCTCCAGCACCACATGCCAG